TGCCTCAGCGTGGTTTGATGAACAGTGCCATGTCCGCACCAGGATTCGAACCAGTGAAACACTGGGCCACCTGCAGTGGAGTGTGCGAACTTAAGCACTCGGCCACGGGGCCAGCCCCTCTCTCTCTTTTTCTTAGTGAGTCTGGCTAAGGGTTTGTCAATTTTGTTTATCTTCTCGAAGAACCAGCTCTTAGTTTCACTGATTCTTTCTCTTGTTTCTTTTTAGTCTCTATTTCATTTACTTCTGCTCTGATTTTTATTACTTCTCTCCTGCTACTGACTTTGGGCTTTGTTCTTCTTTTTCTAGTTCTTTTAGGTATACGGTAAGCTTGTTTATTTGAGATTTTTCTTGTTTGTTGAGGTAGGCCTGCATTGCTGTAAATTTTCCTCTTAGTACTGCTTTTGCTGCATCCCATGTTTTGGTGTGTGGTGTTTTCCTTTTTATTTGTTTCTAGGTATTTTTTGCTTTCCCTTTTGATTTCTTCATTGATCCAGTGTTGTTCAGTAGCATGTTCTTTAGGACCCACATATTTGTGAATTTATCAGTGTTTTTCTTGTAGTCGTCTTCTAGTTTCATAGCATTGTCGTCAGAAAAGATGCTTGATATGATTTCAAGCTTCTTAAATTTATTGAGGCTTGCTTTGGTTCCCATCGTATGGTCTGTTTTCGAGAAGGTTCCAAGTGTACTTGAGAAGAATGTGTATTCTGGTTTTGGATGGATTGTTCTATATGTGTGTATATATATGTATGTATATATGTAGTCCATCTGGTCTAGTGTTTCATTTAAGTCCACTGTTTCCTTGTTGACTTTCTGTCTGGATGATCTATCCATTGTTGAAGTGGGGCGTTGAGGTCCCCTACTCTGATTGTGTTGCTGTCAGTTTCTCTCTTTAGTCTGTTAATAGCTGCTTTATGTACTTTGGTGCTCTTGTGTTAAGTTCATATATATTAATACATATTATGTCTTCTTGTTGGAATGTCCCTTTTATCATTATGTAATGCCCATCTTTGTCTCTTGTTATCCTTTTTATTCTGAAGTCTGCTTTGTCTGATGTAAGTACAGCTACATCCACTTTCTTTTGCTTGCCATTTATATGGAGTATCATCTTGCATCCCTTCACTCTGAGCCTGTTTGTCTTTAGAGCTGAGATGTGTTTCCTGGAGGCAGCATATTGTTGGGTCTTGTTTTTTAATCTATACTGCCACTCTGTGTCTTTTTCCTGTTTTGCTGAGGAAGATTCCCCTGAGCTAACATCCATTGCCAACCCTCCTCTTTTTTTTTTCTTCGTGAGGAAGATTAGCCCTGAACCAACATCTGTGCCAAGCTGGAAAGACTGGTCACTGCCGGGGGGAAGGGGAGGAGACGCACACACTGGATGTGCTGGTAGACAGGCAGGGAGTAATCACCCTCTCTACCCCCGCCAGGACTGCCCTCCAGTAAGCAGGCTAAGTCTGCTGGGAGAGGGGTAGAGAGCAAGCTGGCCTGCCTTCTCTGCCCCTTCCAGGACTGCTTGAGCAAGCCACCTGTTTTCTCACAGTTGTGCAGGCCAGTATGTTTTGGAAATTCAAGTCAGAGGGCCCCACCCCAGCTGAGACAATCTGAGATTATATACTATCCCCAATGTTGGAAAGTCAGAGCAGAGTTACAAAGCATAAATAAAGAGAAAACTGAGGAAAACATAGAAAACCACCAAATTGAAATGGCAGACAGAAATACAAGGAAAAAGAAACAACAGAAATACAGAACAACCAGAAAACAAAAGACAAAATGGCATATTTATTAAGCCGCAATATATCAATAATCACTCTAAGTGCGAACGGATTGAATTCACCGATCAAAAGACAAAGAGTTGTCTGTGTGGCTGAGTGGTTGAAGTCCCACGTGCCCTGCTTCAGTGGCCCAGGCTCTGAGGTTTGGATCCTAGGTGCAGACCTGTTCCGCTCGCCAGCCATGCTGTGGAGGTGTCCCACACACAAACAAAGTAGAGGGAGATTGTGGCCGCGTAGGGAATCTTCCATTGGTCAGTGGCTTGCTGACTGGTTGTAGCTTAGAGAAGAGAGAGAAAGGGAACAACTCACTCCACCGTGGTGCTGACGTCGCTCTTAGATTCATTTTATGCATGTGGATGTCCAGTTGTTCAGCACCATTTGTTGAACAGACTCTCTTGCTCTCTTGTTGCCTTTGCTCTTTTGTCAAAGACCAGTTGATTATATTTATGCGGGTCTGTTTCTGAGTTCTCTCTTCCGTTCCATTGAATCATTTGTCTATTCTTCTTTGGCAATACTACACCATCTTGGTTACTGCAGCCTTATAGTAAGTCTCAAAGTCAGGTAACACCAGTCCTTCAACTTTGTTCTTTTCCTTCAATTTGTGTCGACTCTTCCAGGTCTTTTGCTTTTCCGTATAATTTTAGGTTCAGTTTGTTAATATCCACAAAGTAACTTGCTAGGATTTTGATTGGGATTGTGTTGAATGGGTAGATCAAGTTGGGAAGAACTGACATCTTGACAATATTGTCTTCCTATCTGTGAACATGGAATATCTCTCCATTTGATTAGTTCTTTGATTTTGCTTATCAGCCTTTTGGTACATGCAGTTGGTAGCAAGTCATGGAAACCCAGCTTCAGCTGACTTCCAGAGTAAGGGCTTTTCTGGTGCAGGTGGCATCTGGGGGTGGGGAAAGGGGTGTCAGGTTGGCTGTAATGACTCATGTGAGTTGTCATTGTGCTGCTCTCTCCAGGGCCTCTTCATCCCAAGTCTGGCTCCCCTCCTGGTGGCACAGTGCCTGTGGCAGCTCTAGGGTTCACATTCTCCCCACAGGCCATCCGGGAGATGGAGTACCTGTATCCCAAAAATTCCCATCAGAAGACAGGCCCTTCACATGGAATGGGCTGTCTGCACCCGTTCCTGCAGTCTGGGGGATGCCCTATGCTGGTTGTTTTGATCTGGGTGGTCTTTGATGGCCAGGACTGGTCGAGACCTGCTCCCATGATTGCTGTGATGGATAGTATGGGCCGTCACAGCAGCCACATCAGCCCCGTGGTGACTAGAATTAGGCACTCTGGCTTCTCTGGCAGCTCCGACTGTCAAAGGGTTCTGCTCTCTTCCTTCTGGAGCCTTCACTGCCTGAGACAGAGGTGCTGCGTGGTGGAGATGCTGTGTGACGAGCATGCTTTTTGCTTCTCAGGGTGGTGTGTGTGATCCCTCCGGTTGTGGCTGCGCCCCCCTCCTTGTGGGTGGCAAGGCCGCCCTCCCTCTACAGCCACAGGATGAGGATCTTCAGGCACTGCCTCAAAGAACACACAGCTCCCTATGCCCAGCAGCTGCAGCAGATGACGGCTCTGCGCTCACTGCAGTTTCCAGAGCTGAGATTGGTCCAGTTTGACTCAGGTATGAGAGGAGATCCCATTTGCACTGCTTACCATGTCAGATTCACTTGCTTTGGATTCTGAGATACTCTTGATGTTACTCATTTCACAGGAAAGCTGGAAGCCTTAGCTATTTTACTACAGAAATTGAAATCTGAGGGACGTCGAGTGCTGATTTTATCGCAGATGGTTCTTATGTTAGATATCTTAGAAATGTTCTTGAACTTCCATTATCTCACCTATATAAGAATTGATGAAAATGCCAACAGTGAACAGAGGCAGGTAAGAAGAAATTGTTTACTTTGTCACCATTTACAGTTCAGTTGTGTAAACTTTAATCGCCAGTTTCTGACCTGGTTTCTCAGAGCTGTGTAAATTCAGTGTTGTCATGACCCTTCTGAACAAAGGAAAGAACTTGTGAATGTCGTTGGACTTTGGTAATTCTTTAGCTCCATCCTTTGATATGTTTTCATAAGTCATTTTATTCCAGAGACACACAGTCGGTTAGATGTCTCAGAATTAGACTTGATGTCCTCCGGTCATTACAGGACAAGATTGGTGTGCTTCAGGAGGTGGTATGGGGTGGAAATACAGAAACTGTCTAGATGAATTTGCAGTAAAGAAATCCAAGTTAAAATAATATGCTTGTTTTTCACTCGTCAGATTTGCTAAGGGTATCTTGATTCCCTCAGGTACAACGAGACAGGCATTCTCATACCCTGCTGGTAGGGGTGCAGATTACTACCACTTTCTAGAAGGCAAGTTGACAGTATCGGTTGTGAACCCCAAAAATGGATATGTGCCTGGCGTAGTAGTTCTGTATCTGCGACTCTCTCCCCCAGCACCACCACACTTCTTAAAGATTTATGTACACAGTTGTTCACTGTAGAAATGTTCGTAACAACTCCCAGTTCAGAGCAAAATGACTGGTAGTAGAACAGTGCGTGGATAAGTTGTCCCTGTGCCGTAGGGCTTGGCAGTATTGTAAACAGACCCCGTCCCAGGCATTCCAGGGGATGCACTGAGAAGCCATCATCAACAGCATTTCGGAACAGATTTTAGTAGCATTGCAAAATGTTCCCGAGAGCCAAAGGCAAGCTATTTTTTTACCCACTTATCTTACCCCCTTCAGGTTATATGGCACAGTCAGGGCTTCTCACACACGTTCACACACACGAGAAGGCCTGCAAGGAAATACCCTACAGTCTTTTTTTTTTTAGTAAAGATTTTATTTTTCAGTTTCTTCCCAAAGCCCCCTGGTACATAGTTGTGTATTTTTAGTTGTGGGTCCTTCTAGTTGTGGCATGTGGGACGCCGCCTCAGCCTGGCTTGACGAGCGGTGCCATGTCCACGCCCAGGATCCGAACCAGCAAAACCCTGGGTTGCTGAAGTGGAGTGCGCGAACTTAACCACTCAGCCACGGGGCCGACCCCCACCACAGTCTTTATTAACAAGCTTTCTTGGTAGTGATGTAACAAATTATATAGAGAATTTCTTGAAGGAGAAGGGTTGGTCAACTGCTGTGTCTGTTTTGGCACTGAGATCATGGCAGAAGAGAAGTGTTCAGCTGAGGCCATTTCAGCTCATGGCCTTGAGTGAGGTGGAGGAGCCTCTCTTCCTCATTGTTACCTACTCCCTCAGCCTTACTCCAGGGACTTTTGCTGTAAAGTGCCCTGGCATTGCCTGAGGGCACATGAAAAAGCACATATCCCTCCCCAGTAAGACTCTGTGTTCTTGTGGGGCCTACAGATTGAGCTGACAGTGTGTGTCAGATGGAATCTGACATTTTCCTTTTTGTAAGTGATGACTCACATTATTTAAATAGTGTGTAGAGATGTTTGTGATCTGTGAGTGAGAGATGACGCAAATGCACAGAAGAGCTAGAATAAAATGCTAAAATCTGGTCTAATTTGAACATAGGCCATGTGTCAAAGGAAACACAAACCAAATAGTTTTGTTATGGAATAGTTTCTGACTGATACATAGCAGAAAGTGTCAAAGGTTTCTGAACATTTACCAAGAATACTAACTGGAGATTTTTTATTTCATCTTAGGAACTGATGAGGAGTTTCAACAGAGACAGGAGGATTTTCTGTGCAATTCTCTCCACTCACAGCCGCGCTACAGGCGTGAGCCTGGTAGAGGCAGACGCGGTGGTGTTCTATGACAATGACCTGAACCCTGTGATGGATGCCAAGGCCCAGGAGTGGTGTGACAGAATTGGGAGGCGCAAGGATGTGCACATATACAGGTGAGGAGTGGGCTAAGGCTGGGGTGAGCCTATGTGCGAGGGGGAGCTCGTGCAGGCGTGGGCGCTGGATGCGCTGCCGCGGAGAGGCCTGTGGGCCTGGGATAGCACGCTGCAGTGCACTTTGGAAGTTTCCGCTAAGTTTTGTTTACTTTTCCTTCAGGCAGACTTATGTTCCTGCTATCTTATTTATTCTTTCTTTATATTTAACATTTGCTTGAGATACAATTTAGTTTGCTTGAAATTGTGACTGAGTTGTGTTGCTTAGACATAACTTGCTGTCCTTTCAACATGTATTTGTTGTATCTCTTTTAGAGTATCTGAACCTTAAAGAATGATTTATGTTTTAGGTTGTTTCAACTATCGTCAAATATGAATTATCTGTTAGTAAATTGGCTATTGAAAGAATTAAATCTTATAACTGGCCAAATATATGTAATTGAGGAAAATGGAGAAGGCCCTGCTCTATTTCTGAATTTCCAGAAGTATTTACGTAGTAGTGCAGTCATAGTAGGTCTGCAGTTTTTTTGCGTATTTGTTTTGTGCCCGGTGTGCGCTGAGCACTTGATGCGCCCCTTCTGTGCCGCGGCCGCTTCTCTGACATGTCAGCGTGAAGTCTCACAAGTGGCGGCTGGCCCAGGACTGAAGCCCCAGCTTGTGCGACGTAGTAATCTTAGTGTATTTAAAGAGCTTTATTGTTGTGTTTCTGACTATAAATATATTATTTGTTCATTGAAAAAAAAGAAGAAAATCAAGTAGAGAAGAGTAACTCTCCCATAGAAATAGCAGTCAGTCACATTTTGGTGTATGGCTTTCCAGGCATTTAAAAAATTTTCTTAGATGGCTCATGTCATCAGTCTTATTTTGTAATCCCTTTTTATTTTAACAATATATTGTGAGTGTATTTCCATGCTAATAAATGTAAATTTGTACATCATTTGTATTGAATGAATAATGTTTCATTGTTTAATTTCTCCCTTATCATTGAATGCCTTTAGCAATTACTAGCTGGAAATGGTAAAAATATTTTTTCTCAGTAGCCACAAAATCTGTAAACAGGAATAATCTTAGCAGTAAAGATGCAGAACGTATAAGAAGTAAGAGTATAAAATTGTGTGAAAAGTTGCAAGATGAGATGTCACTTGTGGGAGGATATGCTGTGTTTTTGGACAGGAAGATGTGGTTCATAAAAATGTGAAGTTTTCCCAAAGCGATACTAAAATTTGACTTGATTTTAATGAAAGCCCTGATTATTGGTGTTAGTGTATTTGTGTGCATGGACCTACACACACAGTTGGAGAAAGTGGTTTTTAAAGTATATTTGGGTGGAAGATAATGATGACCAGCAAACAGGATGACACGGGTTGCAGGGAGAGGGTGTGCTGGAGGCCCTGAGGGTGAGCGTGCGGCCTCGTCGCGCGCTGTTGGGATCAGCACAGAGCAGCAGTGCAGGCTAAAGAGCCTGGCTCAGATGTGGATGTCAGCACAGTGGGATTTCAGTTTAATTGAAACGTAGTTTATTCAATGTGTTGGTGACACACTGTGTCCGTGAGGAAGGGGACAGGGTTGGAGTGCTGTTTCCTGCTTTATGACTAGAATACAGTCCCCGTGAATTAAGGACATAAATGTGAAAATAAAGCAACAATTTTAGAGTGTTATTTGAGATAATACCTGTAGCCTGGAGCTTGAAGGGATCACTTTAATCAAACAGAAAACTCGAAAGGAAGGAAAGATAGGCATATTTGAGTATAGTAAAATAAAAATTGAAGTATAGTCACATTGCATAACGTTTCAGTTGACAGCAGACCGCATATATGACAGTGGTCCCGTGAGATTAGTACCATACGGCCTAGGTGTGTGGTAGGCTGCACCATCTAGATTTGTGTAAGTACATTCTCTGTTGTTCACACAACGATGAAATTGCCTAGTGCTGCATTTCTTAGAACATAACCCCATTATTAAGCAACACATGCTGTATTGCAAAAAGATTCCATAAGCACAGTTAATAGGCAAATAAGATTTGGAAAATTGTTTGCAATTCTCTTAATAGACAGAGGGTTATGTACTCTTACAAGTTGAGAAGAAAGGTAAATGACCCCCTTTTTAAGAAGGGTGGGGAGGGAACCTAAGAATAGAACAGGCACTTCTGGGTGACCAAAAACATGTGACAGGATGCCCAAAGGTAGACACAAATGCAAGTTGAATGTGCGGTGACCTTTCTGCTCACATGCCCCTACAGGTGAGACCGTAAAGGGCATGTCTGCTGGCAGTGCCCGGTGAGGGAACCTCCGTACTTTATTGGGAACTCAGGGTCATTTCACTCTTTTGAAAGCAGTGTAGCAAGGTCTGTTGAAGTGAAAATTGCATGTACCCTTTGCCCCCAGCATTACTCTCAAGGGGGTTGAGCCCGTGATATAAGAGTAGTTACTGCAGCTTGTTCATGTGGCATGAAGCAGACCCCAGCCAGTGCCATCCTTGGGGTACAGCCACACCCTGAGTATTGAGCAGCCACCAGAAACATAAGTTCATTTGGGGGATTTCTGTAGGACACTGTTCAGTGAGAAGCAAAGTGGAGATAAGTGTGTAATGAGGCAGATGATGCCTGACCACCATGTATAAATGTGATCACGTGAAGGTGCAGGGCGCATTGTGGAAGTCCGTGTGCCAGGTTGTCAGCACTGAGGAAGACAGGTACTCAGGATGAGTCCAGGAGGACCGAGTAGGATATTTCCAGGTGGAGGCCATAGGATGGGGAGATGAGGGTGACAAGCAGGACACTGGGTACGGAGGTGTGGGACAGTGTGCAGGGCTTCTGGGGCCTGCCCTCATGCTGTGTGGAGGTGGGGGCACAGCTGGACGGAGATGGGAGAGGGGACAGTGGACCACGGAGGCCTTTGACCGCCACATCAAGGAAGGAACGTACTCAACAGGGCATTGTGTATGACAAGTACTTTGAAAGCCATGCAGCACCCACCTGAGCAGTGAGGGGTGCTGTTCACAGGCTGTCTCTGCCCCCGGGTCTGCTTCCAGTTGCCTTTGCTGTCATTGTGTGTGTCTGTGTTTTGTTTGTAGGCTTGTGAGTGGCAATTCCATTGAAGAGAAATTGTTGAAAAATGGAACCAAAGACTTGATCCGAGAAGTAGCTGCTCAGGGAAATGATTACTCCATGGCATTCTTAACGCAGGTATCCTTCATTTATAAGTCCTTAGCAGGGTTACCCTACAGGGAGGGGAACTGTATGGAGTCCATGCAGTCAGTGAGGGGTTGTCTGATGGTTTCCCTGGTACTCAGGAGTCGAGCTCAGGGCAGGCATGAAACCATTTTTTTGTTGCTGGAGAATAATATGCATTTTTGTGTTCAGCGGACTATCCAGGAACTGTTTGAAGTCTATTCTCCCATGGATGATGCTGGCTTTCCAGTAAAAGCTGAAGAGTTCGTTGTCCTTTCTCAGGAACCTTCCATCACAGAAACCATTGCACCCAAGATTGCCAGACCTTTCATAGAGGTAAGAACAGATCCAGCCTGCCCTGAAGAGTTGTTTGATAAGGAGCTGGGCCTGCTTTGAGTCCTGACCTCTCCTGCTCTTGAGTCGTGTGGGCCCTGGGTCCCCGCTGCCCAGCTCAGCAGCTGTGGTGTCTTCATCTGCTCTTCTTGAGCCACCCCCAGCTTCCCCAGCCATCGTGTGAAGGTTGTCACTCCCGAGCTGCTGCTCGCCTGTCCTGTCCATGACCTTCTGCTTTGTGTGGTCTGCCCCTGCCCACCCCCCGATAGTCAGCTATCTCAGCTCCTCCTCTGTCTCAGAGCACTGCTAGGGAAGAGCCACGCTCTGAATGGGAGCCCTGTGTGTGCATGTAAAAAACATGTCTGATTCTGAGGACAGTACAGAAAAGAACGTAACCTCCCTTGTTAATACCTTTTTCTGTTGGTTACGTGTTGAAATAATAATGTTTTGAATGTATCAGGTTAAATAAAATACTGGCTTTTACATTTTTAACACAAGTAATAGAGATTTTAAATTGTACATATGGCTCACGTGATGCTGCTTTTGAGTGGTGCTGCTCTGTGGACACGTCACAGACTCACTGTTGGGGCCACCTCACTTCCGGTCCTGCCTCGTGGAGGGGCCCTCGGCTGCAGGCTGCCTTCCTCCTCTCAGGACTCACCCTCCTCCCCTTGGCCCACCTGGTGAGGAGGTCGTCTCCTCCTCTACCCCCTTCCTGGGCACTGGTTTCCAGGCTTTTACCTTAGAGGGACCCTGTGTCCCGGTCCTCTTCCCGCCTCGTTGCCCAGAGTGTGAGGCTCCCTGGCCCTCTCCTCCTCCTTGAGTGGCTGGGGCCCTTGGTGAGGAGGACTTGCCATCTCCTCTTCCAGTTTTAAAAATTAACTATCTGGTTATTGAGAAGTAATACATGTATGTGGTAGAACCTTCAAGAATTTATGATGAAATCTAAGTCTCCTGTCGCACAGCCTCCTTCCCTGCTCAGAGACAGCCACTGTCTGCAGTGCCTATGTTTC